ACTTTCCAACAAAAAACATGTTTTCGGCCAGCTGAGAAACCCTCCACAGTTCACCACGGAAAAGTACAAACTAAGTGCAGACGTGGACTGCGCTTTCTTGCTGACACAAAGCAAGGCTACTAGTCAATTTATAGTCATAGATTTGAGGCAACTCCTAATTTAAAAATTCCAGCTTTTAAAACACTTCCCACTAAATCACAGACTGCCAGGATGCTGTCCTCCCCAACAGGAGATTTGCCAACAGCCTGTCCAAGCGAGCAGTCAGTGACAGTGGGTATAAAAGCAACACACAGATCTCTTCCCCAACTCTTGAAAATAATTTAGGGGAATGCACAGGGAGCTTTACCGCTACTGAAAATACAAAACACAGTTACAAAATTAGATACCTGAATGTAATCTCAGAAAGGGTAAATTCTTCTCCTGAAAGCCTGCTTCTGAAAGAAGCCATCCAGAAGGATGCCAGCCCGCGGCTTCTTGGGTATATTACTCACCATATCTGTAGCTTGATCTTCTTTCCTTGTAATTCAACAGTCTTAATCTTGAAGTCTATCCCTAAAATAAACAAACACATAAACAAGTACTTAGTATTTATTTACAAAAAAATAAATAAAACAAAAGCAATTCCACATCAACTCAGAATTCCTGCAGAACAGCAGCTTTTTTCTCCTTTTACCCCATCGCCAGGTAAGCCAGGGATGTGTCTGAGTAAGCTGGAGAGCAAGAGGAGCACGGCTGCCAACGCGAACCCTCAGTCACTCACCGGACACCCTCAGCTAACCCCGTTAAGCTGATCTGGCTTGTAAAGGCTTTTAAGTTTCTCGCTTATTTTTAAGAATGAAAAATATCAGGTTTTTGCAATTTTTCTGAAGAACTTCCGAAAAGAAGGAATTGGGGAGTTTGGGTATAAATTTAAACATCCTAAACAAAACAGCAAGCTTTCTTCTTTTTTAAAAAGATTCCTTCCCCCAAAATGATTCAACTACAATATTTTGCATATGCTGAAAAATTATGTGAAACACCACGGTGAATTTTTTACCTTTATTTATTTTTTTACTCTTATACCTAATCCTTGTGATACTACCATTTCAGAAGCCCCTCCAAAAAAAAAAAAAAAAAAAAAAAAGTCTCTTTTCCCCCAAGATTCTCCTTTCCATTGATCTCGTTTGAGTAACCTACCTGCAAGCATAACATTAACTACAGAAATACGAATGCTTGTTCCCTGTTTAGTGTAACTCAAACCAGTCTGTGCGAGAGCCTACACCAGAGCACGGGCCAAGACTCCCGCCTGTTAAAAGCAGTCATCTCACTTTTTTACACCACTGAAACAAGCAGCAGAAACCCTAAACTGCCCCTTGAGCTAAACGCACACGCGCATGGTTTGTAGACAGTCAACCTCCAGCTTCAACAGTGCAAACAGAAGGGTTTAAGCAACACGAAGTTTTCAACCAGCAATAAAAGGGAAGTTACCAGCCGAAGCTGGCACCCGATGGCCACGTCTCTTCGTCCGGGTCCATCATCCCTGCTCCCACCTCTGACGTGGTGCAAGCAAAGTCACGACTTGTCAGAAGTGCGTAACCACGGCTCTCAAAACTCAGAGTAAGCAGAGACCATCTTGAAAGAGCACGAGTAAGGTTTTTACTTTTAATACCAACTAATACAAAATAATTCATGCGTTAATTTGTGGCAAAGCTGGAACGGTACCGCAAGGAAGTTAGTTAACGATGAGATTTGCAAGGACTGCTTGAAGAGGAGACGAAGGAGAGCTGTCCTGACAAGACCTAGGAAAGAAGAAACTAGCCAACTGAAGACAGATCCTTAGCCAAGACCAATACTGAAACCAGTATTTAATATTTCCATTATTAATTCTGGTGTAATAAATTGCGCTATAGGAAGTTTGCTGCTCACAAAGTGGAAGGCACTGTGCAAAGGACGATTAAAATAAGAAACTGAGAATCACAGAATCACAGAATGGTTTGGGTGGGAAGGGACCCCTAGAGGTCACCCAGCCCAACCCCCCCGCAGGAGCAGGGACACCTTGAACCACATCAGGTTGCTCACAGCCCCGGCCAACCTGGCCTGGAATGTTCCCAGGGATGGGGCCTCCACCCCCTCTCTGGGCAACCCCTGCCAGGGTCTCACCACCCTCAGTGTCAAGAATTTCTTCCTTAGATCCAGTCTAAATAATCTTGAAGACAGAATAAAGACAAGGGATGGGTATCAGCAGTACAAGATGCAACGTTACATGCCTGTTACCTACGAATTTCTCCTGTGAGCCAGCAGCTGTTTTCACACGACAAAGCCAGCAGACCAAAGGCTGAGACATTACTGTTTTACTTCCATGGATTAACTATAATCCAATGGAGAGGCAACCCTAGAACAGGCAAATATGACCTTGCAGGCACCTGGCAAGAAATTCCCGTCCAAGGCAGGGAAAGAAGAATATCGTTGTGCAAGACCTTGGTGAAACCTCATTCGTGCAGTGTGTACAAACTAATGGCTCTTCCCCGAAGAGATGGGCTCAGACCAACAGGGATGCCGTGCAAGACAAGCCAGGATGAGGACCCCCCCCCAGCTCCTCCAGAGCAGAAGAGGCTTGAGGACCACGTCTTGTTTCAACCTCCTCTTCACAAAATTTTCTGCAAGAATTATTAGCACAGAGTACATCCAGTGGAGCAGGAACACTACAAGCCATCTCCTCAAAACGCTCTGACACTAATTAGATGCCAGAGTTCTGACTTCCAATTCAAATCGGAGAAACACCGCTGATAATTTTTCACGCTTTTCAAAAATCTGTTTGTATCAAGACTTTTGAAAAGGCAGCAGCTGCGATCACAAACTTCCCTCCTAAATCTACAAGGTCATTTTATACCAAGTAAGATTAAACAGAATTTATGAAACACGCTATTACGTAAGAAGTCTACGTGGGAAGTCTGCTTTAAGCTCCACCAAGTCCAACTCCTTTTAGCTCTATGTACTACACATGCTGCTTCATTTTAACGTTGCAATATTAAATTTGTAAAATCTTTTCACGTAAAAATCAGGATTCCAGAGCCTCTCTGGGAAAGGCTACACAATTTTAGCGGCAGGGGGAGGAGAGTCCCCCTCCCCACAGGCCTGTGTCGTGCCTGGGGCGGCACTTGCTAGTTGGACCCCAACCATATGCGGCCAAAAAGGAAAACGGAGAATAACCCTTAAATAAATACCAAATGCAATTCCTCACGGAGCCTCTTACGCTTACCCAGTATTTCATAAACATGAACCAGAGTGTAAAGGGGCAAAATTCCCCATTTCTAAGGATTTAAAGCAGTGCAGTGGCTAAAGGCCAAGGTAGTCCACCAATTCCAGGATGTCAGCTCGGCGCCTTCAGACAGCAGTTTCAGGTCAGTGCTGCGTTTTCTTCCAGTTAGCCACAGCAGTACTTCATCACTCCTGTTCAGTTAAATTTATGGATCGATATTATAGGTAGTATCATATGTGCGTGGTTTGAAAAACAAACCCACTGAACGATGAATAGCCAACACACAAAACTGTCCCAAATACGCCCAGCCTTCCCTACATTTTGTAGCAGGTTGTTTGCTACGATGCAGTGCCCCACAGCAACGCTATCAAACGAACCAACACAGCAGTTCCCAAAAGATCATAAATAAAAGTATTTTACGCAGTGACGCTTACTTTTAGGTTCTACCCAGATAAAGCAGGATGTTTGACAGCCACTTTTCTTGGTTAAGATAAAGTAAGTTATTAACCCCGCCAAGGAAATTAACTCTTCCCTGCACTGAGAGGGATTTAGCTAACTCCAGTATTTGGGGATAAAATAAATCTCTAATCCCATGTTATACTCAGCTGCTATTCCACTGACAATATAATACTAGTTCAGCCCTCATAACAGAAAGATTGCTATAAATAGCAATGACTATTTGCCTCTAAATACTTTCGAAGTAGTCTTAACCGACTGGGAAAACCAGGCTTCTGCATGGCTCCAGTGCCCACGCAGTTCTAGGCCTTTCCAAAGAAGTCACCAGTGACGTGGTGCCGGCAGAAACACAAAGGCTTCAGAGGAAGAGATTACAGGTACGGGGAGTTTCCAGTAACGTTAAGTTCAGGAAAGAGTTTAAGAGGGTAACGGGCATAAAAATTGAATGGCCTGCAGGACGGACATATTACTATCACAGGAGGATAATGACAGAGCTAATGAATTAAAGATGAGCATGAAATTACTCCCTCATTAAGTGTCGGTTAAAGATATTCATCAACTTCAACAGGGCAAACTGGAATTCACAGAAAAACCTGGACGTACACTGCCAGCCTACGAAACACTTAATGTAACTCCATACTTGCGAATAACAATCTGGAAATGTTTGTTACGCCCCAGTACAGCTCTCACAGTTTAACAGCAAAGCTTCCTTACAGGCCGATCGTCCCAGGTTTCTGGGTCTCCTTCCAACTTCAAGCCTTGTACCAGTTGCTTACAGCAACATATGAGCCCAGGTCTGGCCAGAAACTGAACTCATGGCTTTAAAAAAAGACAAAAGCTATTTATGGATTCTTTAGGTTACTGGTCTTCGAGTATCGAGGCTTAAGAAGCACCACTGGCGGATCTCACGTATGTGCAAACAAGATCCACCCTTAGACAAATATCAAAAGCCACTTCTGGCCAGTGACTGTAAACCTGCAGGCCAAGGGGGGGTTCAGAAGCTGGAGACTCGTACGTCAGGCCACTGAAGTCCAGCTCTTCCGTCCCTACATCAGCAGAGGTTATTGTCAACGACTCCCAACAAAGCATTCCAGTTCTATTGGTGTAAGCTTAAACATCCAAATGTCTTGGTGAACGCAGAAGTATTTGCTCGTTGGTTCTGAGTTTCCATTGCTCTCGGACAAAACATATTAATGAAGGCCTAGGACTTGCGTCAGCACAACAGCGTGTTTTAAATCCATAATCACCACATCCAAACAGTTCTGTATCACTTTACACCTTCTCAAGCCCCTGCCAAGGTTTTGTAAAGATCACTCTTCTGTTGCTAAATCACAAACCAACTGTTCTTGAAGAGTGAACCACAGAAAGCCAGCAGTAAAACAGGGAGGGGGAAGGGAAGTTATTTTCCCGTCCATTTCAGAGCTACAAATGATGAGCTAGCCCTTTTCAGAGAGCACGAATTTTGTTTGCATTCTTTCCGAACAAAGACACCATTCAGCTCGGTGAGGACGCGGGGCGGTAGGAAGCGGAATGTAGGGCAAGAGAGGGGCAACGCCGCCGCGCTGGGAGCCCGAGAGTCAACCTGCACGTCAAATCACCATAACCACAGATGTAAGCAGCATATAAATAAGCACATTTTGTATTCCATTTGTTAGTAATTGCTTTGCAAATAAGACTTGAACAGCACTATGTATTTCCAACTCAGGAAAGGAAAACAAATGTGTACAAATTCACACGCCGGTCTCGTGTCCTCAAACTGCCCACCTCTGCGCTACAGGCTCCGGCAACAAGCAAGTACCGAAGAATTAAATTATTAAAGAACACTTTAGCGGTGCGCCTAAGCTCAAATTAACACCACGCTCAGATTTTCTGAGGAGCCCCCTTCGCCTGCCTCCCTCCCAGCCTGCGAGGGCGCAGGTTCGCAGCCGGAGCTGCGGCACTTTCGCCGAGGGTCTGAAGGTGCACGGGAGCATCCCCCACGCTAATCCACTTCAGACAACTAAAGCAAGGTTGGCGCCCTCGCCAGTGCTTTCAAGCCACAAAACGACGTAAATCTGATCTTCACTGCCTTTCAGAATTCCAGTGTCACTAAAGACAGACCGACCAGGCAGAACGAAATGGATCTGCTGCCTTCCTTTGAACGAACACCTTCCAGATTCACAAGGCGGGAGGAACCCAGCCTCAAGACTTAGGGCACATTAACACAGGGTAAAAACCACAAGACTCCCAGCTAGCGCAGGAACCCCATCGCAGCAGCACAGAGAAAACCTGTATCCTTCAGGTATTTTTCCAGCTTGCAGCAGGGCCCCATAAACAGCCCTAAAATGTTTTTATATATAAAGCAAAAATGCAGTAAAAGAAAGCTTACCAACAGCAGGAAGAGGCAGCAATAACTAAGCCTGGAAGCTTTTAAAACTACAAAATAACTTTGGGGCAGAGACCTTTGCAGAGCTTTTTCTAGTCTTTTTATACAGCATTTTAGACAAATAATCTCCCCAGGGATGTGGTTGACTCCGCCACATTGGAGACTGTCAAGGCTCAGCTGGACAGGGTGCTGGGCCATCTTGTCTGGCTGGGCTCTTGCCCAGAGAGGCTGGACCCGATGGTCCTGGAGGTCCCTTCCAACCTGGGGTTCTATGATTCTATGAACTACCTGATTATGAGATCCCTCAGCTCTTGAGACAGATCTGTAATATTTTAACACTTTCTTAAGCTTAACACCTTAATGCAGAAGATGACTTCTGAAACAAACTCCTAATCCCGATACTGCTTTATCACGTTTATTAATGTCTCAGGCGCACCACTAATAAAGAGGTGGTTCCTCTGACCCCTCCCAGTAACAGCCTTTCCAAACAAACCAAGTCCAGAATTACAAACTCCCCAAAGTCAACGTAAGTCCTGCAGACAAGCTGTAATACTTCAGAATGTTATTTCACTAAGAATACGCAGACATTAACATTTGTTATAGACTCATAGAATGGCCTTAGAGAATCGTATCATTAACAACGAAGTAGTTAAGATGGAATATTTTGTAAGAAAGCTTCGGATGTAAATACACTTTCTCCTTCCAAAGCAAGCCCAGCACAGGTGTATCAGGCAAGAGATGAGAGTTCTGGTTTTAATTGAGCTCTCAGTGATCTCAGTTACTACTTAGGTCTTTCAAAATATTTATTCTACGAGGTATTCATACCTACACAGTGTGAATATACAACATTCCCAACCACACTCAACATTTTAAGTACAAATATTATTTGTCAGAGGCTTTATACGAATTGCATTTCTAAAGTTTCTCTGCCTTCTTCACACCTTCAGCACAGAGCAAAGCCTCAAGCCTGGGTTTTCCAGGCATCGCACCCCACACCGGGCTCTGGGACTTTGCACTTGGCATGGAAGGTGTTCGAAGCACCGGATTCAGACAGAAGAGTTTCTTTGGGAGGAGTGATAGCAAACCCCATGCCAGGTGATCGTTTTGTGCCTAGGCACGCTGGCACCGATTCCAGCTCTACAGAGACCCGTGCCAAGTACGCAGAGATTACGCACACGTATACAAACCTGTTTTAAAGGACCTGAACTCCGCATCATATTAAAGAAAAAGAAAAAAAAAAGCCAAAACCAAACCCACAAACCAAACTTGCTTCTTAGCAAAACTGATATTGAACTTTGTTTTGATACTGCAGCAACTTCTTAAAAGCAGTGCATTTATAGTTGACAAACTTACAGATTAGATTATCCGGTAACAGCCTCAATTGCCATTCCTCGGAAGGAATGGGCTGCCCAGGGAGGTGGTTGAGTCCCCATCCCTGGAGGGATTTAAAAGAAGGAGAGATGAGGTGCTTAGGGACAGGGTTTAGTGGTGGGATGGCAGGGTTAGGTTAAAGGTTGGACTCGATGATCTCAAAGGTCTTTTCCAACCAAAGTGATTCTATGAGATAACCTATATTCTATGAGAAACCCAAGGATGGCTTTTTCCCAGGCGGTCTCTTGCCTCACCTGGCCTGCAGCAGGGCTTCTCCCACCACCAGTTGGGCTGCGGTTCTCACCCACCCTCAGCGAGGGCTGCTGGGGGGCAGCTGCCAGGCCCCCGGGGGAGCAGCATCCCCACAGCTCCCTGGGATGCCTCCTTCCACCTGCCCAGGTGGGACAGGAACGGAGCAGGCATCCATCACAACAGCGCCCCTGGTGAGACTCACACCTTCCTCAGAGTATTCAGGAACGCTCTGCAAGTCTGCAAACTCACCAGCCGTTCAGACGGTTCTGGAAGAGAAACTCAAGCTACTCACAGCCTCATCCTTCGGCAAGAGCTTAAGTGAAAGCCTAAGTTTTATCAGAGAGTGCCAAAATTCAGCTGACGTGGTAAGGAATGGGAGGAAGCTTTGGGCTAGTTGGGACAAGCTTCTATAGTCATGGCAATTCTTTCTGAAATACAGATTTGCTACCTTTGGCAGAAAGTAGGGCATTCCACTGCAGAGGAGAGAAAAATCTAGTCACTGGTGGCTAAAAGGAGCTGGAACCCACAGCTATCCCCCTCTATCGCTTAGATCTCACGTGGAGGATCTCCGTGGCGTCGTCTTTCTCCAGATAAAATTATCCCCCTCTATCACTTAGATCTCACGTGGACCGCTCTAACAGGTGGATCTCCGTGGCGTCGTCTTTCTCCAGATAAAATTGTCACAAAACAATAGAAGGAGTCACTAGATGAAGTCTCGAACTCTTGCTCACTAGAGCAAGTCTGAATGAGATTATCAGAGAGACTGAGACAATGGAGGGAACCTGAAAACCTGGGCTACTTGGCTTCTTTTAGGCAGTATCGAGGAACTGTAGATCCAGGTAAGGAACGGATACTTTAGGTTGTAACTACTTTCTCTAACAAGACATTTATTCACCAGGGGTGAGGGATTACATTGCACTTGAACTCCTCCTTGTCTTTAGCTCTGACCACGCGTAGCATGGTCAGCTACTTGGGGAGGAACAGAGCAGGAAGAGGGAAAGGCAGCATGACCAGCAACAAAACCCGCACAATCAAATCCAAACGAGAAGCCTATCGATGCTTTAGGGTCTGACAAGACGCAAAGACACAGTGCCCTTAGTCTAAGCTTAGCGGGCAACACTAATTTTGCTCATGCTTTTGTAGGAGGATGTGCAGTAGTTATCATGGCAGCTCCACACCTTTTGATTTTATGGTACTGAATCTACCCTGCTCTTCAGCTTTCAAATACATTTAATCTCATGAGTAAACAAGGTAGTAACTAAGTAAATAGGAGAGCTAGTCTTCCTCCTTCAGGAGAAAGCTCACTTGACATGCACGCTTATCTGCCGGTTTTCTTCTCTTTATGTGTACACATACATACACACAGACAGACCTCCAGCGTGCACGCCTATCAGTACCTACGTGTATCTTCTCTACACTTCGGCGTGGCAGTGAATTCTTTGAAGAAACAGAAAAAATAGCACTGTTTAACACGAACTTCCACATGAAACAAACAGCTTCCCTTTTGGTTTGGAAAGGTGAAAGCAAAGATGGCTGAATGCACGTTCTGCAAAAATCACCCAAGTCCTCAGGGCCCCCTTCGTGTCCCAGCCCTGCCGACCTCTCTCGTAGCTCTCCCGGAGAGCCGCAGCCGGTCCCGGGTCAGCCGCCACACCACTAACCTACCGCAGGATGCACGATGGGGTCAGAGAGCCCGTGTGGGCTACGCAGGCCTCAGGTCTGGACTATCTTTAGGTGGCTCATTTCAGAATCATAGAATCATAGAATCATAGAATGTTTAGGGTTGGAAGGGACCACTAGTGGTCATCTAGTCCAACCCCCCTGCAGTGAGCAGGGACACTGCTAACTAGATCAGGTTGCTCACAGCCCCATCCAACCTGGCCTTGAATGTTCCCAGGGATGGGGCCTCCACTACCTCTCTGGGCAACCTGTTCCAGTGTTTTACCACCCTCATTGTAAAAAATTTCTTCCTTACCTCTAGCCTGAACCTACCCTGTTCTAGTTTAAAACCATTTCCCCTTGTCCTAACACAGCTGGCCCTACTAAAAAGACGTTCCCCATCTTTCCTATAGGCCCCCTTTAGGTACTGGAAGGCCGCAATCAGGTCTCCCCGTAGCCTTCTTTTCTCCAGACTGAACAAGCCCAACTCTCTCAGCCTGTCCTCATAGGAGAGGTGCTCCAGCCCTCGGAGCATTTTTGTAGCCAGATACCTCAAGTTTTGCCCCAGTGATTGCCCGTGCTGTGTCCTCCACCCGCAGCTGGGGAAAAGCTGGGGGAAAGCACGGAGCTGCGTGGCCAGAAGCAAAGCTCTACACAGACAGACACACAAGTTCTGGCTAGCTAGCACAGCTACAACTGCAACCCCAGCACCAGTTCCTCCCCTTACAAAAAAACGGGGCGAGTTACCTACGTGTCCCAAGTCCATTTTATCATCTTCATTTCAATAAAACTAGCTAAGACAACAGCTCGAGACTGGCGCATGGAGCAAGCTGTGCTCTCCAGCAAGACTCTTCCTTTTGTCTCATTTTTCTGGGACATTATCCACTACAAGCAAATGCTGCTGTAAAACAAAGCAAAAATCAGGCACCTATAGAGAAGAAAATTAATAATAAAGGTAATAATGAATAGATTAATACAACTTTTTTCAAAAACTAACAAGATGTTTCTGAACCTGCCTGTTCTGGTCAGCAAAGGGGAAGAGGTGGGAGAAGATGGACAAAAGGAGAAGAAAACTGTACCAGGTAGCAACCATCAGTCAGTGACCGAGGTGCTGTTCTGCCCTCAAGGTAGTTTTAGGAACAAAGAGGATTAAAAACCAAAATTGTATAACCTAACACAGCAAAAAGCTTGGAAGTTGCTTTCCAAAAATGTAAGTTCAGCGGTGCTCAGCAGAACACGACAGCCGGATGCGGATGGAGAACAGAGGTGGCAAACGGGTACCTGTCACCAGCTGGACACACGGGGCCAGGCAATCTGACGGCTGCTGTTCGCCTCAGGTAACTCGGTACAAACTGCTGCGAACCAAAGGAAGTTACAAACGACGCAGGGTACCCGCAGCACACAGATGGCAGACAACTTTTAGCGGCTACGTTAAGCCATGTTGCAGATTCCCATCCATTTTAACTAAAGGCTACCACCACGCTGGTCAGACCTAAAATAAATGCTTACCAAAAAAAGAAAGCCTACAATCTTCACGACAAACTGACATGAGAGAGTTGCCTTGCAGTCTCCGAAGCTACAGTGACTCAGGGCTCCTGTTCAACTGCAGGCAAGGGAGCACCCACACAACTTGTTCAGACAGAGCAGCCCAGTGCCAGGACGGGTGAGCAAAGGGGCCCCAAAAACGAATTGAGGCAGTGCAGGACTCTCAGAGCCACCAGCTGGAGGCAGCCACGAGGAGAATGGGCAGCAGCCCCCTGGGACCAACACCGTGGTGTTGGTGTTGTATATACCGGTGGGTATCAGGAATCACAGAGCAGGCGACATGGAAATGGCCTCTTGGCTGCCTTTGCTGTCCTCTTCTAAACCTTTAATTCCAACATTTCTGACATTCAGTGACCAGGAGTATAATGAAGTGCATAAAGTATGAACTGGAACAGGTTGCCCAGAGAGGGGGTGGAGGCCCCATCCCTGGGACCATTCCAGGCCAGGTTGGCCGGGGCTGTGAGCAACCTGATGTGGTTCAAGGTGTCCCTGCTCCTGCAGGGGGGTTGGGCTGGGTGGGCTCTGGGGGTCCCTTCCCATCCAAACCATTCTAGGATTCTATGAGCAGACTATGGATTTATGCAGTAGTAAAACAGAAATCCAATGAATTCATGCATTTCGGTGTTTCAACTTCTCTGCACTAGGATTTTGGCGCAGAGCACACAAACTAGAGCAGCAACACGAACTCACTCTTCCGGCTCTGCAAGGTCTCAAGTCGTGACAACTCGGCATTTGCAGAGCACCAGAAGTTGCATCTACATACAGTAACACACCCCTTATGTGAAACCTCAGGAAGCGTACACTTAGTTAATTCTAATAGCCTAAGACTGTTCCACAACAACTGGGTAAGAGAAAACATCCACGAAGGTAAGCGTCCTGTTTGAGAGCCTGGTTTTGATCGAGCCAGGCATGGGAGGACAATGGTAACGAGTGGTTTAACTACTTTAATTCCACCGGCCACAAATGATGATTTGATTTTCCTTTCCCGAAGGACCCTCCCCGAGAGCTGTACCAGTCTGCCATTCACTAAGCAACCCACTGCATCCTTTGGCTTAGTACCCTCATGAAACGTTCACTGCTTTATCTCGAGGCCAGCAGCCTCAACCCACGCCACCTTGATAGCAGCAGCTACACAGAACTGTTTTTCTTAGTGACATTCCTAAGGAACAAGCAGAGAAACTGCCAGGGGCATAGCTGTTATCTCTGCCTGCTAGGGATCCACGCTACCCGAAGTATCCTGGAAAGTGGCATTTTTGTAAAGCAGGTATCCAGAAAAGTAATTACGGCCACAGGAAAGATAAGCTGGACACTTAACGGGTGATATTTGCTAGTGTGACAGTGCGTATCCCAGCGAAGCACTCAATTACACATAGCATTTACTCTTCAGAATGCAGCAGATTCTCAAAATCCAAACAATCAACCTACCTTCAGCTTTTAACACAAGAGATTAAACTAGAGATGCTTTAAAAAACTGTCTTTCCTCTTCAAGAGATGGATCAAGTCCTATCAGTCCCTCCAAACCACCCCCCTGGCTCTTTCCTCACCTTCAGTTTTTGAATATGATTTTATAGCATCTTT